ACTGGAAAGGAGGCCTCCCACAGAGCAGGACAAGAGCTGGTGGTAAAATCTCCACACAGAAGTGGCTGCATCAGGAGAAGTTTGGTTTGTTTTTTTTTTCCTTTTAGCAGAAAAACTGGCACTGATTCAGAGCTGCCAACAGACATAGGGCACGGGGATGGGAGGAGTTTGTTCTCATTTTGCTAATCAACATAACTCCGTTGGCAAAAGCCCGAGCCAGGACGAGCCTCAGCGGGGTGTGCAGAGCAGTCTGGGCCCGGGGCCCTCCCGGAGGGCTGTCACATCAAACGGATCCGAGTGCCCGGGAATAATGGCAGCACATGATTAACCCGCCCAGCTCCTCTCCTTTATTTAAACACCAAGAAAGGGCTCTGGGGAATGAAGCTAATAGCCATGTGGAGTCCCAGCTCCAGAATCATAATGATGGACCTGGAGCCTTTTCTCACCCAGATGAAAGAGGGGCTGTTGTGCCGCAGTTCACAGCGTGCTAATGACAAACACAACTAAAACCTTCAGCCTGTTTCAGACTCAGGCCTGTAATCTCCTTATGCAATACACTTGACAAAGCTCTCTTGTGGAATATGAGCCTGCTTTTTCCACCACAGTATATACCCCCTCCCTCACCAGACTGCGCGCTACTGGGCTTGATTCATTTAATTATTTATTAATTATTTTTACTCTGAGACCATTTAACAAAATAAACAGGTTATTTTGCCGCAAATAAAACAAACATGAGGAAGCTTTGCTTGCAGGGATACGCCTGTCTGAGGGGAAGAGCAGCAGCTCACCTGCTGCATTGTTCTGAGAGGTAAAGCTGCCTAATTATTTTTTTATTATCCCTGTGTTGTTTCGTTAACCAAATATTTGTCTTTTTGCCTCACACACATATCTAATGCCAATATACAAATTGCACAAGGGGATTATGCCAGCATGAGTCAATCTAGGGTGTGTTTATCCTTGGAGAGACATAAGCCTCTGTTTCTAAAGGCGGGTGTTTCTTATCCTTGTTAGACCTATGAATCTTTCGCCAACAAAATTTGTCACTTTTCACTGTTGGCACGTCTGCTGCAAGAAAAAAAAACCCACGGGCTGGCAGGGCTCCAAGTGGGGTGGGGGCTAAAGCCTCTGGGCCTGTAATTATTGAATATTTATATTACAGCAGAGCTCAGAGGCTTCTCGCTGAGATTCAGGCGTTGCCGTGCAAGCAGACAGTAAAAGACTCTTCCTGCCCAAACAGTTTATTTTACTGGTGATAAATAGCAGACAAAAAGGCAGCACTATTGCAACACAGCTAATGCAAAACCCATGAGATTACTCTAAAAATAAATGTTGGGGGGTTTATTTATTTTATAGACAACTAAAATTCTTATGTTCTTAAAGCTAGGAAGTTTCTGGTTGCTGTAACAGCTGCGATGCTTGTTTACTCACGTGACTCCAGAAAGTAAGATGAACACATCACTTCAGTCCTCCTCCTCCCAGTCCCATCTCAAAGTTTCTTTCTGTTGAAGGGGAAGTGAGCAGGGGGTTGGTGGTGCTTAGCTGGCAGCTGGGGTTAAACCACGACACCTGTCCACAGAAAACACTGAGTGAAGCTACATAGCAGTTTCATGTGCCTCCCACTTGTGGGGCAGAAATTCCCTCAAGATTGCCCAAACACAACTGCTTTCTCCACCCATGAAAATTATTTTTAAGAAAAGGAGCGGTGTTTAATTTTCACATCTTTTCCTCCATTATTGTCAGCACACAATTCAGTTTCCTGTGTCTATCCCTGACTGACTGGGATCCTCCACTGCCAAACCTGTGGATTTGCTGGTCCATCTCTGCATTTGACTGTGCCATTTGACACAGACAGCTGAGCAGGAAAAAATCCATGGAAGAAGCGGACTTAGACTAAAATGTTTCTTAAAGGTGGAGGTCATATCTTATACTTGTGTGAACTGGTTTGGCTCAGTTGCAGGCCATGGAAATATCTAAACTGGGGAATGGTGAGGATTTGTTCCGGGAACACCATCTCACCATCCTCACTTTCTCTGTATATCCTAACAAGAATATCCAGCAGCATGTCTAAAAATAGGACTTAAGTTTCTCAGCTTCCCAGCAGAGGAGCATGCCAGAGCTACTGTGTATTCCTGTGCTGTGCCGGGGAGAGGAATACTCCTATGGCTGTGTAGGAGGAAGCCTTTGAGGGGAAAATCACGGATAATAAAGGCCTCTTTTATCTGAAATACCTAACATTTCAGCTCTTCAAATCCCAACACTGCATTTTCTTAAAACAGGTCTCTATTATGTGTTAAACACATCAAATAGAGCAATTCAGTCTCATCATCTAAATTCAGTGTTGTGATAGCTGAATGAAATTGGGGCAAGATAGCTAAAAAGGTAATAGAAGCTTTTCATGCAGGCAGCATGTGAAATGCATCAGTGCTTTTCTTTCTCCAGGAATAATAAAAAAAAAAAAAGGTATTTTTCCCCAGTGAGCTTATTTTACTGAGTCCACGACCATTGCTATGGTCCAGGATATCCAGGGGAGCTTAGCAAGGTTTTATTGAGGTAGCTAGAACCTGATCTGTGTGGGCAAGAGAGATGGGGGCAGTGGGGAAGAGAAATCCCCTCATTCCTTAGGCCAGTGGCTTAACCAAGGAGTTATCAGTTTTCTCCGATCCAGTTCAGGCATTCCACATTTTATTGTTGTTTTCAAAACGATTGTTTTTTGACACAGTAGCAAAAAACATCACTGTACAATGAAGGTGACAATGTGGGTATGGTTCACTCAAGTCAAGAAAAAAGCAGTTGTTTAGAGAATACAGTTATAATGTCCACCCTACATAAACTGTACATTAAAAGAAAAATCCTAAGACGTGCATCAATAAATGTGTAAAGTACAACACAAAACATGCCACTTCCTGAAATCTCTGGGAAAAGAGCTCCTTCAGTGTGCTCACACAGTCCTCTAGCATGACCCAGCCACGGTATTTCTCTTTCCAACCCTCGGATAAGCAGTGCTTTTACCCCATCTCCTTATAGACAGAAAGCTGTGGTTTCAGACGACTCAAACCACCAGGTCTGCACACAAAGCCTGTGGTGGAAGAGCAGCCTGAGCTCCTGGGACGGGCGCCAGCCCCACAACCTGCGAGGCAGCAGCGATGCTGAGCAGGGATGGACGCAGCAGAGGCAGTGTTTAGTCAGCACATTCTTCCCGCAGGCCCAAGGGCAGCCCTGTGTGCTGGGACTGGAATGCTGCCCATGGATGGCAGCCGGGTAATGAGGCCGGCACTCCCAGCACACAAACACTGCAGGGAATGCCAAGTATCCTGTGATGCACGGCCCACAAGTTTCCTAGGCTGCTTTCTTATGCAATGCGCTCGGCCTCTTGTCTATAAGCAAATGGATATTCTCAGGTGCATACAGAGAAACGTCTACAAGAACAAAATCCTGCTAATAACAATCCCGAGTTCCACAGTCACCTGTATTTGAGGATTTCAACCTGTCAGAGTCCTAGAAATTAAAATTTCCTGTGCTAAACTTCCAGTGCTCATGAGAGCAGACAGGGTAGATAAAGGCTTTTTCACAAGGTCAGAAATATGGAGGTAATAAGCAAAATTACTTTCCCAAAACCACAGGACTCATCAGATGGCAAACTAATTAAACCCTAATCCAGCAAAGCCCTTATTGCGTATGAAATTTACAGCATGTGAATAATGACAATGAAATCAAATACTTAACCTGACCCACATTCTTAAGAAAATTACTAAACAGCATATGCCACACTACTTGATGCAAATCCACACAAACTAATGTGGATACCAGTATTTATCTAACCATGAGAAAAACAGCTCCGTGTCAGCTGCTTTGCCCTGTTCCACTGCCTCATGTCCTAAATTCATAGTTTCTTTTTTTTTTCTTTTTCTTTTTTTTTTTTTTTTCCCCAGGAATCTCCCTTCTGTATTGCCACACATGGCTCAGATGTCATTTAAGCTTTTAAAACCTGGTATCAATTTAGTGCAAATTAAGGAGGCTGTCTTCTCCTGTCAGTAAGGTACAACCTAACTGCCTCTCTGGTTCCCTCATGTCAGATGAACAGTCCCAATTCTAATAATCGGGAGATGAGTGGCTCCTGCTCATATATGAAAGCAAATGTAATGCAGTTACCTGGACTATTTTTCTCACATCTCCATTGTGAAAACTGAAACCACAGCGATTCCACAAGGACATCATGAAGCTCCCTCCTACTCATGACAGGGATGAACCCACACACCTATTGCAAAGCTTATATTCACTAAAATACGTTTGTCCTAATGCCCGCTCACACCTCCCCGGAGCTGGGCAGGCCCAGGGTCATGGAGGGGAGCGGAGCCCACCGCGGGCTCCTCGGGGCGGGCTGCGAGCCCTGACATACCTGAGGGGAGGCTGAGGGGCTGAGGCGGGCGCGGAGAGGGAGACAGCGAAGCGGGGACTGAGAGCTGAGGCGGGAAACGAGGGCTGAGGGACACGCTGAGGGCTGAGGCGGGCACTGAGGGGTGAGGCGGGAAATGAGGGCTGAGGGACGCGCTGAGGGCTGAGGCGGGAAATGAGGCCTGAGGGACACGCTGAGGGCTGAGGCGGGAAACGAGAGCTGAGGGACACGCTGAGGGCTGAGGCGGGCACTGAGGGCTGAGGGACGCGCGGAGGGCTGAGGCAGGCACTGAGGGCTGAGGGACACGCTGAGGGCTGAGGCGGGCACTGAGGGCTGAGGGACGCGCGGAGGGCTGAGGGACGCGCGGAGGGCTGAGGCGGGAAATGAGGGCTGAGGGACGCGCTGAGGGGAGCGCCCCGGGGCGGCGGCGGGCGCTGAGGGCGGCGGCAGGGGCGGAGCGGGCGCGCTTGCGGAGCCCGGCGGCCGCGCATGTACCGGGCGGTGATTGCCCGGCGAGCGCAGCGGGGCGGGTCGAGCCGGGCCGGGCCGCCTCCGGGCCGCCTCCCGCCCGCCTCCCTCCCTCCTTTCCTCCCTCCCTCCGCCGCCGCCTCGCCTCCCGGCCTCCCTGATGCCGAGGGATGGATAGAGCGGCTGCCCTGCGAGCCGCCGGCATGCTGGAGAGGAAGGAGCGGAGCGGCGGCGAGGCGGCGGGGCCGCGGGGCTTGCCGGCCGTGCGGAGCACGCTGCAGCAGTGCGGGCTGCTGCAGGACCTCATCGACATCTCGCTCTCCAACCTGCGCGGGCTCCGCACCAAGTGTGCCGCGTCCAACGACCTCACGCAGCAGGAGATCCGCACGCTGGAGGTACGGCGCGGGCTGGCAGCCGCGGGCGACGCAGCGGGGCCGCGCTGCCGCCTCTGTCCCTGCGGCCGGGGCCTGCCGCTGCCCGCCGCCCTGTCCCCTCGGCACCGGGGACGCGCCCTCTCGTTCTCCCGCGGGCCGAGCGCTGTTGGCGGGGACAGCGGCGGAGCTGTCAGCGGGCTCGGCGCTCCCGGCGCGGGGCCCGCCGCCCGGGGAAGCCGCGGAGCGGAGCGCGGTGCCGCGGGGCGCGGACAGGTGCGGGGCAGCCCCTCGGGTGCCCCGGGCGGTCGGGCGGGTGCGCGGGGGCTCCGTGAGGCAGTGTGCGGCCGCGCCCCGGGCCTGTGCCGGGCTCCCGTGTCCCTGTGGAGCGGGATGCGATGTGAGGCGCCGAGCAAAGGTGACTCGAGGCTCGCTGGCAGGAGGTGTGTCCCCACACCGCTGTCCTGGCGTGCTGGGAAAACTCCTCTTTGCCTCAGGTTCTTGGTGTTTGCTCCTGATGCTTCCTGCCCTCTGCTCCAGGCCTGTCTCTATCCCTGGCTCAGTTTCACTGATCTAATCTGATCCTCCTTTTCCCTCTGTTGCTGTGGCTCCAGCATCATGGACCGGGCTGGAGAGATATTCTGCTCTTTAGAAAGATTATATGAAATGCTTCAAACACAAAACATGCACTGATGTTATGCTCTCAGAGAAGAGCTGTATCTGTTTAAAAGTCTGTATAAGTACATAGGAAAGGAAAGTAGATGTATTTTTCTTTAGTTGATTTGACCTTTAGAAACTTAAATAGCATTTCCCTTTACCTTCTGTGCAGGTAGTTTTGCTCTAAGCAAGCAATCCCCTCCTGTCCCCTTCTTTGATTCAAGTTTGATGTAAATGCTAATGCTCCTCTTCTCTACTGGTACTGGAGACCGTGAAGCTGGATAGAGCATTAGGCTTTTTAGGAAGAAAGGGTCATCACAACACTGTAACTGTAATAAACCTACATGCTGAAAAATCCATCACATGAGAAATGAGGGTTGGGAAGAAAACCATGAAACAATAGGTGGTAGGTAGCTTTTGGCACAGCCTCATGGAAATCTATCATTCTGCCTTTATTCTTTGTCTGACTTTTTTTGTGGTTTTGGTTGGTTGATTGGTTTGTTTTGTGGGGTGTGTTGTTTTGGTTGGTTCCTTTTTTCCCCCCAAATTTATAGTGCTGTTCTTCCTCCTGTCACCTCCAAATAGCATCCAAAAGGCTATTCTCTGTGAAACAATATTTGTATAGCCTTTTGGCAGCCCTCCTTGAGGGCCTTTTTGATGCCCAGACAATGTCGATCAGCATCATTTTGGAAAATGATCATCACTATTTTGCTTGTGGACCTGTTCTAAAAGAAAACCTTTATTCGCAAAAGTATAAAGGTCTTTTTATGATCTTGAGGCTCTTAAAGCAACGAAAGCTGTTTCTAGTGATAGTTGTTGAGTGTGCACACCATCCTCTTCAGCATTTATCTTTTTAAACAAATGGGTGCCACATTCACCAATGATCATAAAATTTGTGTTCAGAAGAAAATCTCTTTGATGTACAGTCCAGTATGTGATTTTTCTGGGAGTTCAACCAAGTGCTGGATCTCTGCCCACACATGGAGCTGTGGGCATGGGTACAGACTCCATGTTCTTTGCACTGTTGGGTTGCCTGTACCAAAATACATGTCAGGCATAGCCCAAGTCTTGTGCTTCACTGTGCCAGGCTGCAGTCACAGAGCCAGACTGCAGGAGCTCAGGGTCTGTGTTTGCTTCCCCATTGCTTGTGGTGCCCCTAAGGGAGGTGGGCCCAGGGCTGTCTCAGGTACCAGGGGGAGTTCCTGTGCCCTGATTCCTGTGCCAGCAGTGCCACTGTGGCAGTGTGCCTCTGCCTGTGGGCTTGTGCCAGCACAGACATGAGCTCTGGTCCTGCAGGGAGCTGGGTACTGGTGGGTGGACTCTGAAGAGTCCAGAGTGCAGCTGGGAGCTCGGAGATCTCCAGGGCCTGCTGTGCTTCCCTGGTGACCTCCATGAGTCACCAAATGGCTCTGTGGGTCATGATTAGTGTCTACTGGTGGTGCAGTGCTGTGAGCACTGTTCTATACTGTACTATATGTCAGTCCTGGACTGGGAGCTCATCTAGGCTGGGGCTGAACTCTCACAGGGCTTTTCTTCTGTGCAAAGACTTCCGAGGAAGAAGAATTGTGAAAACTTAGTTCCATTAGTATAACTGGTAAACTGTGTAGTGACATGTAGTCACCAGGTCAAGAACCTAAGGGCACTTGGGCTCATGCTTAGCTCCCTCCCCATTTACTGCAATGCTTTAATTCCTTCCTCATTCCTCTTGCTTGTAAGGTGTTCTCAAAATAAAACACATGGTAGATAAGGATTTCAAACTGGACCTTGGCAGGTACAGATAAGCATTCACAGTGGCTTAGAAGAGTTCACGGAAAACTGAGATACAGGAAGGAGAGGAAAGAAAGGGCTGTGGGAATTGCTTGCAAGGGATGTGTTGAGTGTAATGTGTTAGAAGAGCTGACCCTGTTTCAGGGTAGGAAGGCCATTTCTTAGAAGGGCAGGGAGTTTCCCTGTAGTGGAAAGTAGGTTCTGATAGTTTGGTTATTAGCAGACTGGGTTCTTTGATGCCACAAGATCTGGTTTGGTTTTTTTTTAAGTTTTATATCTTCTGCCCAATAAGTGCTTGAGTGTTTTTACCCAGTGCTGATCTGTGCTTTCAGTTCTGTCCTAGCATTTTTACTCACTTCTCAAGTTGACTACAAAACTGAAATGGAAAATAATGGTAATTTTAACCCATATGTAAGAGAGCAAAAAATGTTTGCCATGTAGCGAGCATCCACTGTGTTTCCAAGCATCCTTGGAAAGAAATAGCTCTGTCAGTCTTTACCTCTGTCCTTACACTAATCCCTTGTATGACTCAAATTGGTTTTGCAAAGTTAGAAGCATATTATTTTTAGCTGTATTTCTTTGTGAAGGCAGTATCTTTCTGGATTCATTTCCCTGGCTGGGAAACTGCTGGTGGGACTAGACATCTGTGGTGAAGCACATCCAACTTCCAGCCTCAGCTCGAGCCAGTCTGCTGGAGGTGAGCAGGAGAGTCACAGGGGCTGGCAGCAGGAAAGGTTCCTGTGGTTTCTCAGCTAGAAGCAGCTGGTTTGGTGAGCCGTGGGAATCCCCAGACTAAGTGGGACACCTTCCCCCAGCACCCCCCAGTTTTGATTGCAGCGAAGATGAGGGAGGAAGGCTGAACTGCGAGACCTGGAGTGGATTTAGACTGCAGATGTATTTTCTTTCTAGCTGAGTTCTTGCCTCGAGAGCTGACTGCAGTGGCTCTGGCATGGCAGCTGCCTCCAGACTGGTTGTGGTGGGAGTGTCGGGGTGAGGCAGTAGGACACATTCTGAGTTCTGCCTGCTCTTTGGGAAAACTGTCCTTCTGGCTCTCTGGCCAGACTAGATCCGTGATAGAGACACTCCTGGCTCTGTGTGCAAAGATCAGTTTGGCTTCTTCCTCGGGAATGTCTTCTGTTCAACACCTTCAGCAAACAGAGCACCAGATCAGAAAGCCTGACTCCAGCTGGGCTGTCTCACAAATAAGTCAGTCTACTCTCCACAAATCAGTCGTTCAGTGGCAGAATGGTACCTGTGGATTAAATCTGTTTGAACTTGCTTTGGCATTATCTCAATTCATTTGGCAATTTGTCTAGAAAAGGCTTATCTTACCAAGCAATCTCTGAACAGAAACAAATGCTTTGAAAATGGGGGGAGGCATGAGAGAAGAGGAAGAAGGATTGTATTAGTCCACACTTGCAGGTTGGAAGTTGGGCATGTGGTATGTATAAGGGAAGGACAACTGTGTTTGTAAATTGGAAGTAGGGGGAGTAGTGAATTTTTCAGGCCAAACTGCAACCTGTAGCCACATGTTTATGAGCTTTGTTCAGCTGAAAAGACTTCCTTTCCCAGCAAGTCTTATGTAAGAGGAGAAGAAAGTCTCTTACTTCATCTTACATTTTGCATATATGCAACACATTTGTTTTTCTTAAAGTGTCTTGCTTTTTTTTAGGACTCTTTCTCCTTTCTTAAATTCGTGCACTTCTTGTACAAGATAGTCTTCAACAGAGATTCTATTTGACTTGGAAGAAGGGAAGACCATATATTATTATCTAGTCTGCAGACATCATCTTTCCTTTGTGACAGTTATGATCAGAATTTCCACATCATAATGGAATTTAGCACATCTCTTGGCACTGATTTTATATAAACATTGACACAAAAACTCAGCAGCAGTGTTTTCACTTACCTGGAGTTCCCAGGACAAGCTCTGGTGAGCAGGTTTTCATCAGTATGAAGACAGGACAAGGGACTCTTCACTTTTCTGTCAGGCTCTGTGTTTTTCTTGCCTTGTTGGATTCCATGGTGCAGTGATTGGGAAACAAGAAAGGAAGTGTCATAGTAAGGCTGTGTGCTGCCTTTGCCTTTCTAAGGCTGCCTGTGTGTCACTGGTAACAGCATTGTTGCTGCTCACCCTCCTGCAGGGCAGGAGCCCAGCAGAGGCTGGCTGGGAGCTCGGTCTGTGCCTGCACACAGCGACAGGAACGCACGGCCTGTGGTGCCTCGCTCTCTGCATACAACTAACACAGAACTGATCTAATCAGGGAAGTAGCCAATGAGCCCCAGCTGTGTCCAGCTGAACTCCTGGTTGTGACCAAGCTTGCCCAGATCCCACCTGCGCAGGCCTCGGGCTGCTACTCCAGTTCCAGTGCTGTCAACTGCATTTCACACAAGGAAAGCCCCCATCAGTGTTCCAGCTGCATGCTAGAGACAGATGTACAGCAATGAGTCAGCATTGGGTACACTAATTTATCACCTGCTTTGGTCATAAATAGGAACACTTAACAAAGAAGTCAGGTAACATACCAAATTATTTAGGGAATAGTGTCTGTTACAATGATATTTCCAACTAAGTGTAATCTATCAGATGCTTGAGGGAT